TAAATGATTCTATGATTCTGTGAAAAGTGGCCACTGTAAACTTACAAGGCAAGGTATGCATACCCAAATGTCTAATGATGGCGTACTTTAAAGACAGAATGGAACAGTGAAACATTCACTGATTGTATTTATAGACTAGTTACTTTTGTTTCACAATTACTTTACATATTAAATATAACAACTTCCTCTTAGTAAATCCCTTTCTGCTAATACATTTTAAAGGCTTTGAAATTAATTCACTAATGATGGCATTCAGCAGCTAAAAGAAAGATCACAATCCTCTGTGGTTTAACATAAGATATGTATTTAAATCTCCCAGTTTAATTCTTTACCATAATGAGTTCCTCATAAGGATGTATCCCTCATACATACTCCATTAGCTATCAAGTAATTTCGAATTTCCTGTACTACGTCAGCTTATCCTTTTTAGCAGTGGCTAGATTATGCACCATCGTGTATATTATTGTTAAATAACGAGTAAACAACTGACTGCTAATGGGAATGGAGAAAACAACATTTTTGTACGCTATTTTATATTCTGTGTCTGCTCTCCCACTGCAAAAAGGGTTTAAGTGGCAACAGTAAAAACTAAGCAGTCTTATTTGTTATGAGAAGAAAGCTATTCAGAAGCCAAAGTAGGGTTCCTGTTTTGTCTATGAAGAATATAAAGTCTGACTTTTCTTTAGAAAGAAAAATGCAGTGTATACAACAAAAATACAGGAAATCCAGTTAGCTTTTAATTTCCTCATGCTTTCACAGTTCTCATTTCATGTGTTAGAGTATTCAAACATATCTTTACTCTGAATGTTTAGCTTCACTTGTATTAAACAGAGAACATCACATATAGGTGATAATGAATGTTACTTAACATATAGAGAAATTTCATTTCACTGAGGCTATCACCTCAAATTCTCAAGTCTTAAAGTAAAAAAATTTTACCATCATTTACTATCTGGCACACTGAAATGTAATATATTAGTAGCATAACTGTGTTAATTGGGTACTTTAAAATACAGTTCACATACAGGCAATAACTTACATGGTCAAAATAATTGTTAAAGTAGACAAGCACACATAGAGGTCAGAGTTGAGGCCAGTATTGATATTTTACCTTCAAATTTTCTCAGCCCTGGAATAACCTCAAGACAGATGAATTATGAAAATAACTTACAAATGATCAAAACCAAAAACTGCGTATCTTAAATTTGTGAAAATAGATCTCACTTCAAAATGACAGGTACCTAAATAATATCTGTCTTTTAAATCTAGAGGCATATACATTTACCACCACAAACTATTGAGCTTTCCCTTGCACACGATGCTATGTACTATGTAAGCAAGCTGTACATGAAATAAACGTCAGAAAGCCTTCACTCCCCATCTTGTACAAAGCCACAAGTTTTGAGCAGAGAAGGAAATGTTAACCGATATTAAATCCTTTCCATTTTATTAGAGAAATTATATCAAAGAAAGGACAACAAGAATCAATGCGTTCATCAAAATTTGTTCTATAGAACTATACTCACCACAAACAAATCCATCCAGGTTGACAGCAAAAATACTTCTCCCTTTTAGCAGCTGAGGATGGGCACAACTGGCATTTACAAAGCTCTGAAAGTTGTTCTCTGACATCCACTGTGGTAGCCATTTTAACTGGCAGTCACACAGGAGACTCGACGTGTTTAAGTGCCTAAGAAAAAGCAGTTATGTTCTAAGACCATTGGCTTATTTTTTCTGTTTGCAAGACAGATCTACATGAGCACACATCAGTAAAAAAACCTTAAATTTTTATGCTAAATACATGTATAACTAGAGAAAGGCAGCAATATTATTCAGTTCAGATGTGGTGACATCACACGACTCCTACATCTACAAAGCAGACCTGTTATCCTGAATTATAAATATGAGTCCAGGCAGTTGGGTAGGTCTGTACTGCCTTGGGTACAAAACTGCAGTCAGCAGGACACACAGAATGAGCAAGTAAATAGTCCAGCAGGGAGGTGCTCTGGAAGCTAACACCAAAAAATTCTGAGACAATTTAATTCCCTCATTTCCATTTCAGTCAAATTGGGGAAGATATTTAAAAAGCAGAATGAGGAGAAGAATAATCAAGTGTTGAAATCAAGTGTAGAACTGGTTATCACTGTGCCTTAACCTATGTGGATATCTATATACACAGACGGGGAGGGGAAAAAAAAAAAAAAAGAAAGCAAAGACATTTTGTGAAGCACCTAGAATCAGAGGATACTAGAATTGAAGAAGGAAGAGTTCTGTTTTGGCTGAAAACTCAGAATCACCCTTAAAAAAAATGCATTAAAACCCACAGTCAGTAATAAAATTCCGCTCTTCAAATCTTACCTGTTCTTGGAAGAAAAAAAAAAAAAAAAAAAAAATTTATGAATCCAGGGAGAGAAACAGCTTTAAATATAAATGGAGACACACCAATTCTTGATTTTTTTTTTCCTCGAGGAAAAGGAATAGTATCTCTGTGCAATTTTTTCACACTAACAGTGCACAGGTAACACCTAGGGATGCTAGCTCTCCAGTTCACATGGAGATGAAGCAGGTTATCTTTCACCAAAGTTCAGGGGTCTTCCTGTTATTTGTAGGAGGCAGGGAAACCAACACATTTTTTGCTACCATGATGCACCGAGTATCTATCATATTATTTTCAAATTTACTCTCTAGGGGTCTCAGAATAAAGTTACTAGATAGGAATTTATAGTAAATAATCCTACTTCTGCAGAAGCACTTTCGACCATCTGTCTACATCCTCCTCAGACCTAATGGATGTCTACCAGGTATTTCAAGAAAAAAAACAAACAAACAAAAAAAAAAATATTGAAGATTTGTTGTGTTAACTGAAGTGTTCAGAGTCTGGTTTCTTGTAGCATCTCACACTTCCTGGAGCAGCATGTCATTCCACCACATTTCATCACTCTTCAAATCATCTGTATCAATGCCTAGCTGTTAGCACTCTGCTCCTACAGCTTCTCTTGAGCCAAATCTAGCAACTGCCCTGAAGGTGGCTGAGTGAGCTCAGCAAACCAATCAAGCAATGAAACCAGATCCAACTCAAGCAAGAGGAAAGGCAGAAAACCCCTGGCTATGGGTAGAAGAGTGGCTGCTGCTTCCTAAACCAGCTGCAGCTACACCAGGGTGTGCGTAACGTCAGACTGAACTTTGAATGAACCAAATATTGTCTAGATGTGAGAATGAAGTCTTGTATGTGAATAATCATACACTGGAACAACCTCCACAGGGATATGGTGGAGTCCCCAGCACTGGAGGTTTTCAAGACTCAACTGTACTGAGTGCTAGATAATCTCATCTAGGCTCACTTTTCCATGAAAGGTTGGACCACATGACCTTTAGAGATGCCTTCCAACCTGGGCTGTTTTACGATTCTATGAAACACACAAGCCTCCTCGTTACTTTATCTATGGTACACAACAGGGAATGATACCATAAGACTAAGTAGAGAGCCAGCTGCTAGGGTGATACTTGATACAAGTCTGGAGAACACAAATGAAAAGCTTCAGATAAGCTTCAGGTAGGTTCTACCCCTACTGAGAGCAGCACCATTTGGTTGTTCTTTATTTCATTGATAGACTGTCCACAGAGCAGCTCAGGACAGCAGATCTCACTAGAGAAGGCTGATATGAATATAGGAGACATAAGATATATGCAAGAGGAAGAATTAATTGTGCTCAAAACACAGAGGACAGTGACAGTTTTTCTGCACTGACCAACAGAAAAAGAGGGTGAGAAGACAAAAAAAAACCCCAAAACTCACTAGAAGAATACATTCTTCCCAGTGACCGCTTCATGACTTCCTCTGAAGATCTGCCCCTTTGCTACTACAGGACAGATAAAAGGACCCAATTACAAGCACTGACAACCAGGTCTTTACAAAAGAATTACAGCACTGCATTTCACTGGTCCAGTAAACTTCAGCTCAGTGATAGCACTGCTGATCTTATAGCACATTACATCAAAGTCTCCCATATCTAATACCTATTAGAGATCAGCCAATTTAAAATAAAGACTCCAGACACCAAATGTAGCAGAAAATGAATGCCTCCTATCCTACACTATCTCACTGAAATACAGTCATCACAGAAAAAATAAAAAAACCCAAACACTGACATACCCTTTTTTATGTGACATCTGAGAGATTACAGTGGGAGTTTATCACTGCATCAGACAACACCTTACAAAGCTTTTATTTATGTGTTCATATAGAAATATATATTTAATAGAGGTTATGTCTTTAGACAGAAACTTACAATTCTTTGAGTTTCTTCATTTGCGAAAATGCATTTCCTTGAACTGACATAATTGCATTGTTACTTAGATCTCTAGGAAAAAGAAAGATAAATAGCATTACAGAAGGAAAGAATAATGTGTTAAAGTCAATGTAGCTAGGACTCAAGAATAGTCTGCTACCTTGGTAATATACAAAGACAAAACCTAGAGAGACAGGATTAAGGAGTTCTATAGCATGCTTAATACAAAACACTTTCAGCATTAATCACAAAATTAATATTCAGTGTAACTCAATCAAATCAAAGAACCTTCTCAAGATCGCAGTAGCAACCAGGGTAAGTATATTTCATTCACAGTCATAAGTAGTTCCCAAAGTTGGGTTAAATGTGAATTTCTACTACTTACAGGTGTTCAAGTGCATCCAAACCAGAAAATGCTTTCTTTGTAATGGATCTAATCCTATTTCCTTGGAGTATCCTGAAAAATATACATACATGATGCAAAAAAGATGCAATAAGATAAAATCTGGCTCATTTTTTGAGCCAAACAATTGCATTTTTGGTGTTTATTTCTAAACTGTGTAGAATATTCACCATTCAACCTTTCCTAATGCAGCAAACTGTCGTACTCCTAGAAGATATTAATTTATTCCCACTGACTAAGCACCTAGATTTTACAGTGATTTTAGAAGATGTTTAATGTGTACAGTTCAGCGATATAGATTATTCCAAATGTATACACATAAGCATCTTTTTATTTCATAGATGTGCATCTGAACATTTCCAGGCAACGAAGCCACTTCCATTGGGTGCTGCATTACTTATCGAAGACTTATCCCTGTCACTGTGCACCTGTCATATAACCCACTTATTGCTTCTGATTACAGGAAACCCTCATTCCTTGAGGTTTCCATCCACAGTAGTAATATTTAAAATATTTCAGATTAGTTTGACTTGAAAAATCTGGAATTTGTTTTACAAAAAAAATGAATGTTTTATAGGGAAGAAAATGGTAAGGGAGAAAAAAAATCATCTCAGCTATGGAAACTACAACATCATTAAGTGTTGGGCTTGTCCCTTGAAACACACATAATCTAAATCAATTTTTTTAAGCAATGATGAGATGATGTAGCAATACTCACAGCTTCCTAAGTTTATCTAGGCCAGAGAAAGCACCATTCATATCTTCAATAGTCCATGATATTTCATTATTTTTCAGATCCCTGTTTAAGGGAGGAGGGGAAATAAAACCACAAGTGCTATTAAAAATTACAAGGTATATACTTCAGGAACATGTATTATTTAAAGCAATTTCTAAAATAGCTTTCTGACAGATTGGGTTTTGTTTGTTTGTTTGTGAAGAGAAGCTTCTCCCAATTAGCTATTTCATTTCAAAGCCTTTTAGTCTAGATCGAAAAGAGTAACAGTTCCCACACACCTTGCAAGTCTCTGATTTGCCCTCTTAATCTCTCTGTATACTTAATAAATATCTCTATCTATACCTCTCTGTGTACTTAAAAACCACAGCATACACCCCTCTAAACTGCATCACGTAGGAGTATGTGAGGAAACCCCTGAACACAAAGCATCAGCACCCTTTTCAAAACCTGGACAGAAAGGCAACCACTTCCCTCACATGGCTAACAGACGGGTCAATGGTACAGAATTGGAAGATTTTAACGAAGTGGAATATATTCAGAATTAGTTTCCTTCTTTCTCACCCTTCAATACATGATTGTTTTTTGAAATAGCAAATACTTAAAGCAACTGCCCACTCATGAAAAGCATCAGCATCTATAGTAAAACAGCTTTGAGTTTGGTGTTATTTCTACCAGGAGGGAAAAGTTGGTTTAGTTAAGACATTAGGGATCTGGATCCTAGTTAAGCTGTGGGTAGCAGTAAGGCCTTTGAATGGAGACCATAAAAATGCTACTGAAAGTTCCTATCAGAATTATCAACTTCCATTATGCACAGCCTTACTGAAAGAATAAGTCTGCCCTCTCCCACATACTTCGGGAAAAAAAAAAAAAAAAAAAAAAAAAAAATCCTACTCTAAGAAAAACGTATGCTGATCTGGATAAGTTAGCAAAATGTTTTCTGTATTGCCTAAGGAAATATAAATAAAAATCTATAAACACTGAGAGTTTTTCTTAAGGTTTTTGATCTGAAAAATTGAGTTTGTCAACTTACAAAGTCTGTAGACTGGAAAGTCCCCGGAAGGCACAATCAGCGATATAATTTACTTTGTTGTTTCCAATGTACAGTCCAACCAGCACACTTAGCCCAACAAAGCTTGAATCATCCAACCTTGATAAGTGATTGAACGTCAAATCCCTGGAAATTCATGGAAAGAAATTATTTTTAATGTTTATGTTGCAGTGCTTGTTACTCAGTTCAACTCAAGTGAATTTTCACAGAAAGACCATTTTTTTTTCCCCTTACAACTATCACAAAACATACTACACCATTTTTGACCACACAGCTTACGTATAGTTTCCAACCAATTCACCAATTACTGCAGAATGAATTTCTTTCATTTGAAAATGACCGTGTTACAGCTTTAGTACAACTGCCACAGTAAAATGAGGCAGTCACGGTTGACTTCAACTTCTTTCAACAAAAAATACTGTCTCACAGACAAAAAAGTTGTTGTCACCTTGGAAACTTTGCTATGAAAAATTTACAGATCAGTGGCAAGAGGCTCATGCTTTGGCATGTACCTGGCTTTCGAAACTGGAATACAATGAAAGTTACTCACAGCTCGCTGAGTTTTTGGCAAAATTCCCAGGCATCAGGACTGATCCTGCTGATGGCATTTTGGCTGAGATGGAGTTGCTGCAGCATCAGCAAGCCATAAAGCCACCCTTTGGTTACCTCCGTTAAGTTGTTATGGTCCAGCTGCCTACAAACACATACAAACAGATAAAAGACATAAGGATCAGAAACTCAACAGTGTGCATGCCTTGCCACGGATCCACAGCTGATTTCATGATACTGGCTGGGTAGCTGCAGCCTCTACTTACATTTAGACTTGTATGCATGCATGAGGAATATGCTGTCCTACACATTCATCAATGACTGCTTGCTGCTTTCTAAACCATACCAAAACAATTTAATTCAAAAACATCATTAAACTCTATCTAGCAGCTCTCTTCCTTCTGTGTAATTCTACTTAATGTTATCAGCAAAACCTATCAGCAAAAAGTTGATACTTACAAGACTTCCATATTGGTCAATCCCCAGAAAGCACCATCCATGAGCCTAGTAACCCCATTTCTCTGTAGTTTTAATGATTTCAAAGCTGGGAGTCCTTGGAAAGTAAGCCCATCTATTTTTTTAATTTTGTTGCGACTCAGCTCCCTGCATCAATAAAATTTACAGTTACAGCAGAGTTAGTTTACCAGTATGCAAACAACCTTTCTTCCCTCTCTAGAAACAAACCTGCATTAAATATTTTTCTTGCACATAAACCAACAAGAGACAAGATGTAATACAAATCAAACGTTCTGCTGTAATAAATTATATTCAATCATGCTAACACTGTACTACCTTCCTGACATTGAGGACAAGTACTTGGTAGTTCCTTGGTTTTCAGATTTAAAGATTGTCCCTGTAGAATGTCATGGTTAATCCTATTTGCAGATTCAAAAGTGAAAGCAAATTCCAGGTGTTTATCCAGCAGTAGAGTCATTCAGGTTAGTTTGTAATAGCAGTTGACAATCAGTCAAAAAGAAAAAGTTAAAATTTTTAGTTGTGATAACTAGGCAAAATTAAATATTCTGGGTGATCCTCCTCTTCCTTAACCAGGTGTCAAGTATTCATTACATATTCCCCCCTCATTCTCCACAACTAGTTACAAATAGTTCCTTCCCTCTTTCTCAAGCGCTCTCAGCACTCACCCTTCTGCCACTACACACACTCCTTGTAGGTCAGAAGCTGGGACCTGTGTGTGTCCTGAAAGGGAGTCATAAGCCATAACTAGCTGGAGGGCAAGCTGCAGTGACAGCAGTACTCAATATTTTGTATTTTCCCACTCTCCACACTTTCTTGGCTCGGGTCCTTTTAAACTCCAAACCCTGCACCAACCTATGTGAAAAGGGAAGTCTAGCCGCACACGGGCACAAAGAGCAATGTTAACCGCTTTTATAACAGTGAATTTTAAACTAGCCATCATTTGCTAAATTAGCACTTCATTTATTGGAAGCAACTGATATATAGCATAAAGAGACAGGATTAGACTATACTAAGAAAAGGCCCTCATACAATGAGCAATCATTTGCCCCTTCAAGAAGGTCTTAGATCTATCAGCCTGCATCCTACCAAACCAAGAAGAATCATCTCCTTCCGAAAGTTACCTCCCCATGGACAATAAAGGCTTAAATAATTCTGTCTCCACAGTTATTCCACAAAGTTTCAGCCTTGTAAGAATTCATCGTTCCTCTCTGGCAGCCTGGTACAAACCCTAGCTGATGACAGACACCCAACAGAGAACCCTACTCCTCCTCCTGCATTCAAATATGCATAAGCACTGAAGAACATTCATCAAGAACAGCCTTCAGTTCTTCTCCACACCTCCTCTGAATATTTCTTCCAGGTGGTAACACAAATTTTTGGCCTCTATTACAAAATAGCTACCTAACATAACTAGGTCAGCCTACCAAATAAACTGTGAATGAGTAGAAATTTTAGGCAAGAGTATCACCAGCTTCCAAAATCTCTAGCTGAATCTGAAGATCAGAAAGTCTATTGAGATCATTTATAAATGATGCCCTGTTAGCTTTGCAGGGCTGTTCTCACGCTCTTCTTATGCTTGAGTCAAACTCTTCTTGCAGTTGTATACAGAAAAGACACAGTCACTGTTTGCAGAAGTGTCAAGCATCCTAACACTTTGCTCTTAATGACCTTTCACTTTCAAAGCTAACCTAAGCAAGTTCATAATTTTTAGCTCTTGACTATCTTATAGAGAAAATAATTATTTGGGATTTGACAAAGTGCAGTCCTAGCTCATCCTCTTGTCAACCTCCTGCACTCTTGAGTTTTCTAATAAAATAGAAAAAATATTTCCAGCCTCTTCCATATTAAACAATGATCCATTATTTATTTAGTAAAACATTTCTAGACAGCACTCTATCAGTGAAGCTGTGGGAGGTCTATGTACTCAAACATATTACTTATTGTCACAGCCTCTGAAAACAAATTCATTCCCTTCATTGCACTGTGAAAGCACAAAATAAATACAAGACTGCAGTAGTGAACTATGTAAGCTTACTTCACTTAGTATTTTTCCAATGCTTTCTTACAGGAATACTGCTATTACCCCTTCTCCAGCCTTTTTTTTTTTTTTTAATAGGCAAATACATTTTTAAACACAAAGAATATTCACATCTCACCAATATGTAAGACTAGTTCTGTTCAGTACAAAGCTGCAGTTAGACAGGGTTGTAGTAATATGGTTTTTGTGTCTGTCTCACTCGCCTCTGGATAAATTAAAGGCTAAAGTTCAAGCACTGCCAGTGCTTTGGAAAACCTGAAAACAATTAGTCAATTGTAGGTTGCACTTACAGGTGCTGCAGATGGGAGAGTTTAAACATCTTTTGAGGGATTGCTGAAATTTTGTTCCTGTTCAGTTTCAATACTTGAAGTGTGGTAGACAAATTGTCAAAGGTACCAGGCTCCATGGAGGTTATTCGGTTACTGTTAATGTACCTGTTGAAACAATGTCTAGAAGGTTAAATTTACAGTTATTTAATAAATTCTTAATACCACGTAGTGAAACACAAAGCTCTTGCACTGACTATTCCTTGATAAATGGAATTTCATTTATCATACTAATTAGAACTCTTGACAGCTCAGCCCATGGTCAAATAGTATTTCACCACCACTGTTTTGCTCTACTCTGCAGGAGTGTGTTATTGGCAGAAGACAACATGTTGCAGCTCCATTACTTTATTCTCACTCAGTACAGCTCCAGCGTTGCAGGATTACTGAATAATCATTAAGGTAGATTCAGTAAAGTCCAAACTTCACGTAACTCAAAGCTAGCCCAGGTATGGGGAACTTAAGTTCATTTTGTTATGTAATTATTTCTCTCACGAGTCACATCTCTGTTTTATCTCAAAATTATGAACAAAAACATCTTACTGCAGCAACTCATGTATTCAAGTCAGTAGTTTATGTTAATTGCAACAAATGAAAGTAGGAATATTTAGTGCTTCTCTAATTGAAAGAAGATTAAGTATTCTAACAAGCAGCTGCCAATCTACACTTTCCAACACATTTTTTTAAAGTAACCCTAAAGAAAAAAAGTAATACTAAGTCTTACTTACAGATACTTGAGCTGTAATGATGGAAATGATGATATTTTTAGCTCTGATATGTTGTTGTTGCTCAAGTCCAAAGTTTCTAGGCTCTGAAATGGCCTCAGATGTTCAGACAAAATGTTGGCAATCTTGTTACTGGTCCTGAAATTTAAGGACAGTAGTCAGTAGGCTGTCAACTCCAGAGTAAACACTTGCTAACTACACAGGAGTCATGAAAGTTAATTCTTAATTCCCTCACTTGAAAATATTTTCTAGTTGAAGAAAAACAATTATGTATGTTCTTTATACATACCATTCATGTCTAGCCATCCCAAATCACAAAATGGAATGCTCTAAATAAATGGAATGCTCTAAATAAATGTGTCCAACTTTTATTAAAATGCATCTCCAGGAAACAAGATTACAAAAAAAAAAAAAAAATTATAATCCATTTACTGCAATTGGTGGCTTTTAAAACAATTTGTAAAACTCTATAATTCACTACTACTGAACAGTAGAAATATCTGGTATATGCATTGAACTGTATGTCACAGTATGGCAAATAAATGAGATTAGAGCAGCTTTCTATTTTAACCAAATTAACATCATGGTAGTGAGACATAGTGCTTTGGGGTTTTTTTTGAAAACTCCTATAGAATGAAAATCAAATTGGATTTCCAGAAAAAACAGAGTTACATTAGAAAAGATGGACAACAGTAGGACAGTGCACCCCCTCAGAAAGACATTCTATAATTTTGCAGTTAGACCTAGTATTTAATCCTCTAGATTATTCTAGTGGGTTAGCAAATAATAGAATTTCTGATGGAATTCATACTTAGCTAAAGTTTCATCAGACATCACAGAATTCTACAACAAAAACTCTGCAACTGTTTAAAAGCATGAGTATCCTAGTCTACAATAAGGAACACCCCTTCTTTCACTTCCAAAGAAATGTACTTTTTCCAGCCATCACATTTCGTGTTATTACCCAGCAGCCTACCAGCTCCTTCATCCCAGCTGCATAAAGCACAGTGTCATACAGGCACATCAGCAACATTAACAGGGTTATTCGTTTGGGGCTAATGGTACATAGGGGAAAACACATCATGACCAGTTAAATGAATGTAACCTGAAATGATCCTTGTTACCTTGGGAAGTTCAAGTGAGTTCTGGCTGTGGTACATTCTGTACCTAGTATGATGTGTGATCAAAATTTAGGAGCTCTCCCAGCTCCTAGAGATTGCAGGCAAAAGCAATTTCATGACAACTATCAACAAGAATGTTGATTCCAGAAAGTGTCTGCCTTTATTGGAAACACTTGCTCTTACTATCAAATAGTACGCCACACATCTAGGATAGCATGGACAATCCTCACATATTCAAGGGGCGTGGGGGGAATTACTGCCCAAGACAAAAAAGTCCTGACTCAAAAACTGACCCAGAAGTTAGATTAATGGGCCTTCTAACCACATGTGGGAACGGGTAAGTAATCTTGCAGTCCTTCCAATGCTGTGCTTGTATCGTGTTTCATTCCTCAGGCTGTCTGGTAGAGGTACGCTGCATTTTTTTAACTCTTAGCTGAAAATATTTATAATAAATGGAAACAAATTACTTAAATAAAAAACAACAAACACCACCACCATATGTCAGTTCCACTGACCAAATAAGACTGTGAGTTAGATAACAGGGCCTTGCCTTTATGCATTAGTTTGTTTATAAGGTAATTACTAACAAGGTATTAAAACTGCCAATTACTTGAGTGACGAATAAAATTTTCCTTGCAGTAAAAGTGTGCTCCAGCAGAAGCCAGCAATTTCCTGAACTGCACGCCTCCTAAATTGCAGTGTGAAAGTGTTCAGTTATAGAGACGGCTTGCACAGTGCTGTCTTTGTGTCAGCATTGCTCCATAAACCAGAAATTCCTCACAACTGGCAGGATAACAGCCCCTGTATTACAAAGTTTAGTTGGACCTAATGGAACCGAATAAAACTCTTATACAACCTTCAGATTAGCACTTAAACCAACTGGCAAATTACCTGACACAAACCAGGTTACAACAAAAACAAATAAACAAAAAAACCCAGCTTGTTTGTTTCAGAGAAGTTTTGTTCTTTTTGTAAGCTGGTAAGGTCATATTGTGGGGAGAAATCAACTTCTACTCACTGAAAAAGAGCTACACATCAATGTCCTAGTCCATCTGATAAAACCAAACCAGCCCTCACTGCACCTTCCCTCTTACTCTTATTTGCAGAAGCTACTTAGACGCAAAGTATCTCAATAGCTCACTCCTGACTGCTCCAACATCCTAGTCTAGGTGCCATAGTTTACACCTGGAAAGAGATGATCCAGCACTGAACATATTCAAATAGTTCCACTTCAAGGCACAACTTCAGTTAAAATGAGACTTCAATTCTAATTTGACTTTTCTTAACAATCATAACTTAAGTAAATAAAACAAAAACAATATATCAGCTTCCTTATAACCGCCAAATAGTTGTCAAAATTAGCCAAGGCCACGTTTGAAAATGCAAGCCTATTTGTCAAGGCAGAACCAAACAGTACCGTCCGTGTCACCACAAGAATACACAAGTTTGTTCACTATGAAAAAGAAAACCCAACCCAAACAGAAACCCCCCAACTTTCCAGCAAAGCGCTGTTACGACTGTGCTCAGACAAAAGGAGCTGCAGACACCACATTGGTTTCATTTCACAGACCCTCATGGGGAGGGAGATCAGAGCAACAGAGATCCCCTGCAACAAGAGAACCAGCACATTAAATTTTCACAGAAGTGGACCTGCAGCAATTTGATCATGATTTCTTCATATGCAAGGAACAGCAACATACTGCAGCTTCCTGACAACTTCTCCTGTTACAACAAACAGCAGGAGCACTGCGCAACACAGATCAAACGCCACAAATACCTGCACGAATTTGAACATGCCTTTTGCAGTTCAAGTGCCTACACCCCTACTTGCAAAAAAGAAAAACCCAACAACCCAAGAGTGCATGCAGACTGATCGAATTATTTTTACACAAGCCTCTGTGAATATCAGCATAAGACAGAATATCAGTTTTTCATTATGGCTATGAGAAACCTTAGCTTTCTTTCACTCTCAGCACTCATGTCTTTAACCACACCACCAGGCCAAAACATCTGCAACAGCCCTATCAATCATGATCTCTAGATTCATTTTATATAAACAACACCTACAACATATCCGACACACTGACTTGTACTTTCCTTGCCTCTGGGAAACTGTAAAGCAGGACAGCAATTTCTGTATCCATTTTGTTAAGAATCTAGTTAACACGATTTATACATAATAGTTATGTGCTGAAAAAAAAGCCAGTTTTAAAAAATCTGAGATAGTATGACTAAGTATGTCTTCATAAAGATCGTCAATGCATGTTTTTCTACCTAGGAGAAATATCTATATAACTTCATTACTCTGATCCTGTAACATGGAAACCCCAACTCAGAAACTGATGAAGACCTGAAGTCTTATCTTTTGTTTCTATTCAAAATCTTAGCAAAAAAAAATACACTTGTGCTTCCCTCCCCAGCATTTCCTTCCCATTCCCCTTTCTTCCAGGTCAATCTTGATTTGCTGTGTGTTAAGAACCTCTCGGTCTTATCTTACATCATTATCCTGACAAGCAGCACATGTAGAAGCCTGAAGGTGCAGCAAAAGCTGCTATATACAAAAATAATTGTTTTAACGTCTTTGTGATTCTGGACTAGCATGATATCTCCTGTCCCTCAACTAAGTCTTGAGAGGTAGGATATATTGAATTTGCATCAGAAATAGGCAAACGAAATCAAAGTGGACTCTCTTGCTGGAGACTAAGAGGATACATGAAGAGAAAGAAAGCACTCTGCTAGGGCCAGATATACCTTTCTGAGCAGTGCTGAAGCCAGGACACTGGAGTTCACAGATGTGTACTTTGACTAGCTCATGTTTACTTGGCTTCCACATTACAGCTGGCTTGCAGGCAGCCATACTGGCACCCAGGCAAAGCAGCCGTGACCGTCCACATCCAACCACGGACTGGGTGGTCTCCATTACGTGCCACTACAGCTCACAGCCTCCTTTTTCATATGTCCTCGAATTTCTGTGGTTGCTTCACCTGTTCTTCCCTCCACTCACCTGCTGATACCATATGACTCCTTCCATATCATCTACTGTTTCTTGCACTCCCCTTCCTGCCCTCCCAAACCCCTTTAGACTTTTGGAAGTGTTGTAAGAGACAACGATGGCAAGTCACTCAGCGTAACAAATTTAAGTCAAAAGAAAAACAATAATTGATAGCAAAGATGGAAAGATCAAGACTATAATCAACTTCCTCAAAAAGTGGTAGAGGGCACATGCTTTGTGGCTTTTAGGCTAAGGCTGCACAAGTTCAAGGAGTAGAAGAAAGTCTCAGTAACTCCTACAAGGAGAGAAAAAAAAAATATTTTTTTTTTTTTTTTTACTATTTCTACTCATTTGGCTACTGAAGTTAGCCAAACTAATGAAAAATTACATCATTTAAAATATTATAAATTATGGCTTCAGGGTGAACACCACCACCCCCCCCAAAAAAAAAAAAAAATACAGATGAATGGGACTACATGCTCTTCTCACCATTAGGCACCCAACTGCACCGAATTAAGAACATCCACTTTTTTCTATCTTTGCAACTGTTAAGATACAGAAGTGAAACTGTTTTTCTCCAAGACAAAGATGCCAGAAATAGTCATAGGATTCTGGCTCACTTCCAGTCCTACTGGTAGGTCTACAAGTCTAATGCCTCCTTCACACACAGGCTTCTCACATTCCCTGTGGCAAGCAGTTGTTCTTTCTTTTGAAGCTCTCCTTCATACCATGATCCATGCCTGTCATTGCTCTTTAAAGCCAGATGTCAGCAAATCTCCGCTATTATTTTTTGTGCCTTCTGTGGTATACAGGCACGAAGTACAAAATGAAACTCAGAATTCTTTAGGCTACTGATACCCTGTCCAAAACTTAAGACCAAAAGGTTATTGATTCCCAAACCAAACAAACAGGGAAAAGTGGAAAAGAAACATGCAGAATGAAACAGCTCTGGGATAAGAGAGGTTTTCATTATCAAAAAGAAGACAGAGGCAAACACAAACTTTCAAACACAAGATACTTCCATC